AACTGACAGGATTACTGACAATGTTGTGTCAGTGATTCGAATCCAAGTGAGTGCAAATTGGACAGACAGACAAACCGACAGTCAGACAGATATATATATAGATAAATTGACTGGTTTTTTCATTGTATTTTATATTTCTTACGAATTGGCAAATTCATTCATATTTCACCTCATTTTCATGTCTCTTTCAAGTTATTTTTTGTTAGAACCCAGTTTTTCCGTTCAATTTTTCCTGCTCATTATTGGACGCGTACACTTTTCCAACTCTCCATCCGATTGTTTGATTTCCAGTCTGCCTTATTTTCTGTATGAATACAGGCACTTTTGTCAGAAAATATAAATCTGGTTTTATCGCTGGTTCTTGCGTGCTCTGCTTTACAAGTTAAGTGGGCGCTTGTCAGTAGTTAAGCACTGACCTCGTTACAAAAATCTGGCATCATAACATTGAGCAACTGGTTTTCGAATGCGTTGCTGTTCAATATATTCAAATAAAACCCAGATCATCCAGTGTACATCCAGTCTGTCTTCCAAATGACAATTTCATTTGAACAAATGCAACTTCTTCTTCATCAACAACAGCAACAGTTTGAAGCTTGCCAGCTCAGCTTGATTGAAAAACTTACAAAGCAGTTTTCAATTCAAAATCTCGGCAGTTCCAACTCAGAGAAAACCGAATCTATTGGGAGTTCAGTTGTAGAGTTCAATTTCGAACCTTCAACAGGCGTGACGTTTGAAGCTTGGTTTCGACGTTATGAAGATCTGTTCCGGGTTGAATGCGCTCACCTAGATGATTCGGCCAAAGTGAGACTACTCCTTCGGAAACTTGGTCCAGCCGAACATAACAAATATGTCAATCATATTCTACCAAAGAACTCCAGAGAACTCAACTTTGAAGAAACCGTTCAAACGTTAACCAATATTTTCGGTGAACAGTTATCTCTCTTCAGTATCCGTTACAATTGTTTCAAGATATCCAAAGATCCAGGAGATGATATTCTCACCTATGCTGGTAAGGTGAATCGTGAATGCGAGCGATCGAAAATTCGATCACTTACGGATGACCAGTTTAAATGCCTGATCTTTGTCTGCGGTCTCAAATCTTCAGTTGACAGTGATATTCGTACCCGAATCCTTGCAGAGATTGAACGCAAACCGGACATGACTTTACAGGAGGTAACTGCTGAGTGCCAGCGAATCATCAATCTAAAGCATGACACGAAGTTGATTGAGGACGGTCAAGTTCATGAATTTACTTCTGTTCAGGCTGTCAAGTCAAACAATTCTCTGCAAGTCAAACACAAGCCTCCCACAAATTGTTGGTTTTGTGGATCGTGGCATTTTGGTAAATTTTGCCCGTATAAAAGACATAAATGCAGTATCTGTAACAAGTATGGTCACAAGGAAGGATTTTGTCCCCCAGTGAAACCTAGATCAATCCGATCTCACAATACGATGGCACAGTCACGAAAGTTTCGATCTCGGTCGACGAAACCTCAAATCAGCAGTATGTTCGCTACCTTCAAAGTTGACTTCGAGTCAAAAAGAAAGTTTGTCACACTTTCTATCAACCAGAAGCCAGTTCGACTACAGTTAGATACTGCTTCTGATATCACAATCATATCTCCCCAGACGTGGCGGGCACTCGGGTGTCCACCTTATCAGAGAACGGAGCATACTGCAAGAAACGCGTCGGGTGACGTAATGAAATTATCTGGCCAGATTGAATGCGACGTAACTTTCCGGTCGACCTCGTTCCAAGGAACATGCTACATCACCAATCGTCATGATTTGAACTTGCTTGGTATTGACTGGATCGAAAAGATGAAACTCTGGGATGTCCCACTGAACTCAGTTTGTTCCAATGTACAGTGCTCAGATAGTCCTACCAACATGTTGATGCATCCGAACTCGACCGCAAAGTTCATCAGTCATCTTCGCACCAAACACGCTGCCGTTTTTCAAGAGTCTTTGGGTTGCTGTACCGTACAAAAAGCCAGACTATACCTCAAACCTGATGCCAAACCAGTTTTTAGACCAAAACGCCCAGTACCGTATGCCGCATTATCGTCCCTTGATGCAGAGCTGGATCGTTTAGAAAAGTTGAACGTAATCAAGCCAGTCGATTACTCATCCTGGGCAGCCCCCATAGTGGTTGTCAAGAAAGCAAACGGTACCATCAGACTTTGTGCTGATTTCTCAACAGGACTCAATAATGCCCTTGAAGATCAACCGTATCCACTACCAGTACCGCAAGATCTATTTGTCAAACTGAATGGCGGTAAATACTTCAGTAAACTTGATCTAGCTGAGGCATACCTACAGATCGAGGTCGAAGATGATTCTAAAGAGCTTCTGACAATCAACACTCACAAAGGACTGTATCAGTTCCAGCGACTTCCATATGGTGTTAAACCTGCTCCTGCTATATTCCAACAGATAATGGATGCAATATTAGCTGGTGTATCGGGAGTGGCCGTTTACCTCGATGATATCATAGTCACAGGAGAAACTCAATTCGAACTCTTCAATCGGTTGGATAAAGTCCTGACAATACTCAGTGATTCCGGTTTCCATTTACGTCCGGATAAGTGCAATTTTTTCATGACTTCAGTGAAGTACCTGGGATTCATTTTTGACAAAGATGGTCGCAAACCCGACCCCTCCAGTGTGTCAGCAATTCAACAGATGCCTGCCCCTAATAATCTCAGTACGTTGCAGTCCTTCCTGGGGATGATCAGTTACTATAGTGCGTTCCTGCCAGATTTACATCGTCTCAGGGCCCCAATGAATCAGTTGCTCATGAAGAATGCTAAATGGAACTGGTCAGAAGAATGCCAACAAGCTTTCATCAAGGTCAAGAAATTACTCCAGTCTGACCTGCTGTTAACACATTACAATCCAAAGCTGGATATAACATTAGCTGCAGATGCGTCCAACTATGGTATTGGCGCTGTCATTTCACATGTGTTTCCAGACGGTGTTGAAAAGCCAATAGCATATGCATCGCGAACCTTGACAAAGGTAGAGCAGAATTACAGTCAGGTCGAAAAGGAAGGATTAGCGCTCGTGTTTGGGATTCAAAAGTTCCACAAAATGCTGCTTGGCCGAAAGTTCACACTTTTTACTGATCACAAACCACTATTATCGATTTTTGGCTCCAAGAAAGGTATTCCAGTCTATACAGCCAATCGACTCCAACGATGGGCGACTATGCTACTAGGATACGACTTTCAGATCAAGTACAAATCTACAAAAGATTTCGGGAATGCAGATGTCCTCTCGCGTTTACTCAGCTATAACAAGCCCGCAAAGGAGGACGCTGTGATCGCCGGCGTTTCTGTCGATGAAGACGTGTGCCACGTATTGATGACGGCAATAAACACTTTACCTGTCTCAGCCGACATGGTTCAACGAGAGACGCAGCGTGACCCGACATTACAGTCAGTTCAACAGTATCTGCGTTGTGGCTGGCCCTCGCGTATTGATTGTCCAGATTTAAAACAGTTCTATCAACGACGACATTCGTTATCCCTGGTCAATGACTGCATTATGTTTGGCGAACGTGTGGTCGTGCCTCGAAGTCTCCAACAAAAAGTCATGAGTCAACTACATTTTACGCATCCTGGTATTGGCCGTATGAAATCGTTGGCACGCTGTTACGTCTACTGGCCAAATATCGATCGTGAATTAGAAGTGATGGTTCGCTCATGTTCTCGCTGTGCTCAGGCTTTGAAAATGCCTATCAAGACAGACCTACAGCCGTGGCCCAACCCAGGAAAACCGTGGTCAAGAATCCACATAGATTTTGCCGGCCCAATCAATGGCAAACAGTTTCTCGTGGTAATCGACGCGTATTCCAAGTGGCCGGAGGTTTTCATTATGCAAAATACCACAGTGACGATAACATTAAATAAGTTGGTTCAGCTTTTCAGCAGATTTGGTGTTCCAGAGATCATCGTTTCCGATAACGGACCTCAGTTTACAGCTGAACAATTCAAACAGTTTTGTGAGCGGCTAGGTGTTCAGCATATTCGCAGCCCGCCTTACCATCCTCAGTCAAATGGACAAGCAGAGCGTTTTGTTGATACACTCAAGCGCGCACTTCAGAAGTCAAACGGGGAGGGATCGATAGAGGATGTATTGCACAATTTCCTCTTCATTTATCGAACCACAACCAACCCATCATGCCCAAATCAAACATCTCCCGCAGAAGTTATGTTTGGAAGAAGATTACGTACTACTTTGGATACAATTATCCCGATCCCATCAAGACGGAGCAAATGTGGTCGAAATAGTGAATTTTGGTTCAATAGACGTCATGGCACCAAGCAAAGAAGTTTCATGGTTGGTCAGTCGGTACTGGTTCGTGATTACATACGGAGAGATCGCCCATGGGTTTCTGGAGTGATCGTTGGAAGAAAAGGCCAAGTCATTTACAAGGTCAAGGTTGGAGACCTTATTTGGGTCAGGCATGCCAAACGAATAAGAAATAGACTAGTTGGTAAACGGTTGAACGATTCCAAGTCCGCCGACGTACAATTCCAGCTATTGATAGATACGACGGATCCGAAAACTTCACATGGCCAAAATAGTCGAAACAAAGGCAAAGTGTTCCAGCAGCCAAGGAGATCACAAAGACAACCAAGACCGTCAAAGTACCTACAAGTGATTTCGCGATACAAAAGCTACCGGTAGCCCTATCTTAAAAGGGGAGGTGTTAGGAAGAGGAAAAGACATGCAGTTATCAGTTCATTATCATGTCTCAGTCAAGTTATTACCGTGTTATTAACAAGTCGTTGACATGCAGTTGTTCCTGCTTGTTATTGGACGCCTGCAAATTTCCAAATCTCAACCGGATTGGTTGATTTCCAGTCTACCTTATTTTCTGTATGAATAAAGTAACTTTTGTAATAAAAAATAAACCTGGTTTCACAAAAGCTTCTGGAGCGTTCTGCATTTCAAGTTGAGTGAGCACTTGCGACTAGTTAGGAACTGACCTCATGACAAAAGATCTGGAATCAAAAAAAATACGCAGAGATAGCAAGTTATTGAATGATGATATTGATGATGTTTTGTTTCGTGTATATATTTCAGCTGTACCGGAAACCACAACGACAGTGATGGCGACAGAAGCGGCGAACACTACAATGCACAGCTCAACAACAAGTGAGTCGTCTCTTGTTCATCACCAACATATTTGAATGTGTGTATATTTATGTGTGTGCATATGTATACGCGTGTGTGTATAAGAAGGTTACGGGAAGAGAGGGAGAGTGATTCTGTGATAGCCAACGACAACGACAACCCTCGTCTCATGTCGTGTCGACATGTCGTGCTTTCAGCTGGCCATTGAGCTGATCATTCGTCGAGTCGTGCATAGACGAGCTCTTCTAAGCATTACGAAGGCGAGGATGACATCCCTCCTCAAATAATATTCTCACTCACTCAAGCATACACTCAATCATCCACATTCGTATTCACCCGCCTACACGCACACACACACACACACAAACAATTATCTTCAGCGTCATCCTCATCAACAACATCATCATCATCTCCATAATCACCAAGAGGATGAGTGACTTGACATTATCAGGGTGTACGGACTCAGTGAGTATTCGTATTGTTGATAAACTGACAGGATTACTGACAATGTTGTGTCAGTGATTTGAATCCAAGTGAGTGATATTTAGACTGTCAGGCCTACAGGCGGTCAGAGGTCGATGTTTTTAGATGGACAGCTAGAGAAATAGACAGCTAAGTGTTTTGATACTTAGAAGGATATATGGAAAATATGGAATGAAATTACTGAGAATCTTTTGTATCGCTTTTTTTTTTAATCTGTACCTTTAAGGACAGGCACTTTGAAATCTTTGGAGTCTTTTTTTATTTATTTTTTTTATTACTGCTTGTGTCCATACCGTCTGCGGTAATGCAGCGACGCTCTTCCTTGTTCTTCGGTCTTTATCTTCGTAAATCGCTTTGAATTTTCTTTTGCTTGTTTAATGCTTCTTAATTTTTGTTCCAGTTGGTTTTATTTTTGTTTGTCTTACTATTCTCTCTTTCCTTACCCGGTATCTTTATATTATTTGTTTGTTTTATTTTCAGGGGTATAATTCTTCGTTTGTGTTCAATTTGTCTATTCAAGGCCTTGCGTTCACTTTTAGTGAGCAGTTGCATTTTCTTTCTTTTTGGTGATATAATGCGTTTTCTGCACGTTGGTATGCTTCTTTAATTTCGATTTCATGCTTATTTTGCTAGTTGATGAAGTTTCTCTTGTGTTTCTTGGGATTGGCTATTTGGTGTATTCCATGATCATTTGTTCTGCTTGACGTTTTGTTCGCTTTGTCTTTCCGTTTGTGTCTGCATTTCTTCATAGTCATTTACCCTCGATCTAGTTTGACTGGTTGGTTCGATTCTGTCGTGTTCATTGGATTTTCTTGTTTATCGTCAGCTTTTCTGTGTCCAGCTGAACCGAAGATCGTGTCAGCACAATTTTCCGCCCCACACTTGGGTTGTCTGCATGATTCGCTCACCTGTTTTCTCCGTTTCGCTTTGTTTCCACTTCTTTTCTCACATCGTCTTCTCTTTTCTCACTCCGGGTTTTCCACTTCTCGGTCGTTTCCCGTCTTCTTCCGGATACTTTTCTCTCTCTCGTCTCCATTTGGTTATCGTTGGATGATGTTTGTTTAAGCTCGTTGGTTTTCGCCTTCTCGTCTCCACTTTCGTCTTTATATATTGTATTTCGTCTGATAACATGGCTTACTTTACTCATGGGGTTTTCACCTTTTCTTATTTTTCTTTCTGCAGTTGAGACTCAAACGATGACAGTAACGACAACAACCCAGTCGGTATTCACCACAGTCGAAACAACTACAGGTGAGTTTCTCTCCACCGGATGTGATTCCCTTGATGCTTGTGCATTGTTCCGTTGCTGGTTTATTCTTGTCATCTGATTCTCCCCATCTTATTTCTGTCAATGTAATTTTCACTTCGTGCTTTTATTCAATACCTTCGCTGTAGCGACCAATGCACACTGATATAAACTTTCTCGACACTTCACATCGGTGGTGTCCACTTCTATGATTCGCGTTATTATTATCGTGTAACCTCGTATGTGGACACCCAGATAAGATTCATGTTGCTCGACAGCTCCCACCAAATTGAAAGGCGAGTGATTATATTCGACTCGTGACAGTGGGTGAATAAGTGTTATAGGCAGTACGTCGTGCAGCATCGGCGAATCGTCCAAACATCAAACAACAGCAGAAATGAAACGAGTCGTCAGGTTACAAAGAATATGTCTTCAAGAGACCAGTAAATGTGGGTTAACTAATCGCCTTCCTGTCTACTGGAAACACCAAATCACGTTTGACAATATTTTGCAGAAATAAATCCCGCTCTGCTAGATCTCATGCGTTCAGCTTTCAAGTGATTGTGACCGTTCCAAGATGGTGTTTCGAGACTGATACTTGGTGTTCAATCTGATTCTCATTAGTGACTAGCTGCATGAAGCAAGCTAGTCGGAGTTCCAGTGAGTTGTTGCGATCACCTGCGTCGACGAGGTCAGGTGAGAGAACAGTCGCTCATCCGTGACATTGTATGGAGGTTAAGCCATGTATTGCGAACTGGTGGAAGTTGGAATTCGTGGTCGTTGTATCGAGTCCTAGTGGCCTGATGGTTGACGATCTCGTCTTGTTGTGAGTACATCCTGCAGTTGTCTGCCAGTGGGTGCGTCCTCCTCAGGAGTCCCGAACGAGGGTGGGACAGTACCCAGTACTCCCTGGATTTCTAAAGGTTCTGCAACTGATGTCGTGTCGTGATGGAAATTGTAACCAGTACTAGTGGATCGTAAGTAATTATGATAGATGTCGTGAGTCCCTCTCTGTGGTACAGGTTGCAGTCCTTGCTTAGGCGAATCGCCCGTGACGCATTTATTCCTCTCAAACAAAGCACTCTCCAGTTCGTCGTACCGGTCATATTTCCGTGAATGTATTGACATCACACACACACACGCACACACACACACAGTAAAACTCCACTCATCTTGGTTAAGTGTAGACATAACAGTGAATTTTTGCCTTCTTCTCAATTAACTACATTTAACACATCTACAATTATTTCTCTTTCATTGCGCAACTATTCCACGGATTGGATGAACACGTTGTTCAAGGTGCGACTGTGCAGACGGTTACTTTGGGTAAGTCGGAAGGCGAATGTATTTCCCTTGCATTACAGTTGATAGGTAAACATTATCATTCAATTTATTTGCAACATTGTCTGTCTAGTTGATGGAGGTAAGTAGACATGGAGACTGTTGACGAGTACACCAACCTTCGAGGCGCCATCCTATCCACAACCATATTCAATGCATACTGGATTACTCGAATTTGTGACTTTGAGGAGTGTAAAGCCATCTGTGAGAGATGGCGTTAGATGGTGTTCGTGAGGTTCGCCTACATAATTGTGGATATTGAGGGAGATGTAGTACTCTGAAAGCCATCTGTCTGATTGCTGTATGATGGAGTTTTGATGTGTTGGGGAAAACACGAAAAATGTGTCTACTTATGCAAGAGATGAGTGACTGCCTCGTAGGTCTTTGTTTTACCGAGGATCATCTACCGACCATTCAGAGAGATTTGATGATTCGACAGGTCCTGCGTACATGTATTGCGATACTGTGGAAGGGCGGTGCCCGTCGGTGGACCGGGACATGTCACAAATTGTAGAGTGATTTGTGCATGCATTACGCAGACAATTCAGGTTGGTTTAGATTTTGTGAACCAACTTGTTGAGATGTTGGATCGAAGTCGATGGACAAGTAGTCGAAGTGTGCTCAGTTGATTGGCATGTCAGTATTTTGGGAAATCATTTGAAATCCAACGTGTCACTGTGTGGCGAGACAATGGTCGAATCTTCACCTCATCTGAGGCATCAGTGAGATAGGGAAATTGGATAGTGGAAGTGAGAAAGGCTGGAGTCAACGATGTCCTCCAGGATGAATTTTAACCCTTAGTAAGACAGTCTGTTTTATTTATAGAAGTTTAATAATTTGCACTCACTCATGACAAGAAAGTGATTCTACCTCTCGCAATGATTCACTTCTCTCCTAGTGATCTCATCACCGTTGGTCAGAGAGAACAAGTCATTGGAGTGGAGTGACAGTCTTCTGGATCCGACTTCATCCTTGTTTCAGGAATACTCCACAGAAGTGTGTGATCTGGTAAGATTGTTCTCAGTTTTCCAGTTAAATTTACGTGCAAGTCATTCATTTTCAAGTTGTATGTCAAATCGTTTGATACAACTTTATTTGAGTTTCCTGCAAGTTGAATTGTTGTGAATTAGGGATTCAAAGTGAACTATGGATATACATGTATGTAAACAAGTATATATATATATATATATTTAACGGACTCAATATTCGTTCTATGACGGGTATTCAACAACGGCTTTAGATGGAATATTTCGGCAGTAGTAAGTTCTCTCCCATTAGCCTGTGCACACGACCGATTCGAAGAACATGGAATCTGTTATATCATCACTAACTTTGTTTGTCTTGAACCTCGTGAAGATTATCCACACTGCAACTTGATGTCAGACAGTAGCTTCGTGCTCATTCTTCTTCTTGTCAGTATTATTATCATCATTGTAATGATTAGAAGCTGACTTGTAAGTGCCTAGATAATCAGTCGAACACGACTTATTGACAGTGGTGTGTAGCGCAAATCTTCTGACCGGTGTAGAGTGGGAGTGTTGGTTGCACACTGTTTCCCGAAATTTCTCTCAGTGGAGTGAATCAGAGACGATGGGTGAACAGAGCCCAGTCAACTTTGTATTGAAGACTCGACTGAATATGATAGAGATGAATGAGATCAGATTGATGGTGATGACTGAGTTGTCCCCGTGTCATTGTTTCCACATCTATCTACCATTCTGAGTAAAGCGATGTGACTATACTGTGACTACCTAGTGGAATCTGGCATGTTGTCATCATCCTGGTGTTTGATGACCGTTCCACAGTACAAAATTCCTGGGACGACGTTTCCTGCCAACAGGATAACTGTCCCAGTTGAGTCACACTGCAAAGCAGAGTTTCTGCTCGCTCTTAGACGCACAGTCGCACTACACCATTCGTTGGTCCCTTAACGCCTACAACACAACACCTCTTATTCACTGGCACCACGTCACATTTTCATCGATTATCATGTCCACTTAAATGTAGCAATCAATGATTGGTCTTCTTCACCTCCTTCTTCCTCTCAACCTACATCAGCTCATCAAAAGCATGACGACAGCTGATATCGAAGGACTAATCAACGTCACTTGCACCGTGGTTAGCTTTCAACGTGGATCAGTGATTGGAAACGCGGTATTAACCGTCCAACATGATATTTCCAGTGAGAACTTCTCAACAAGCAGTGTGACGGAGCAGACTGTTCTCGCCGCGATTGTCCAATACACAGAAGAACTAGTTACCAATGGTACTGGTCAGGTGTACTTTGGTGCAGCGAGCAACATTACGATAGAAGGTAATATATTTATATTTCGATTCCACTTTGTCACTTTCCTGTCCTTCGTTTCATGATCTCATTCATTGTGTTATTCATGCTTGAATTTCTCTCGTCTTGTCTGACTTCTTCTTCGATCGTGTGTGTGTTTCACGATGACTGATATCGAACATGTGGAGTAGCTGTCTGTGAACTTTCTGAGAGTTCGTTGGCAGGGATTTGATTTAATATAGGTTTGTTGACTGGCGGACATCAGTTCGATGACCTCCGTAGAACTGGTGCCTACTGGACACGTGCTTCCATCTAGTTTGTGGCTATTCAACAGGACTCACCTATTGAGATTGGAACCTAGAAATCTTGGGTAACATGAAGAAGTCGTAGAATTTTGTTCTGACTTGTCCAGATTCGTGGAGTATGGTGGAGACGTCAGACAGTGTCAAAGAGCACTACCTATTCCTTCAGCGGAATTGATGGAAGCCGTTGTCTGACAGTACTCATCACGAATTCCAGATATGTTCTGCATGCGGTAAGAAGTTGTTGAGTATGATAATGAGCATGGAGCACAGCCGAAAACAGTGGGAGAACGCAAATCAAAATGAAAGTCGAGAAACTGAGGACATTGGGATATAAGAGAATGTGAGTAAGATAAAACTTGACAAATATGGGAATTAAGTTTGATTGGATGGAGGACGTCATGATGAGCGGAAATCAGTCAGAGAACCACTGGAACACATGGTAGTACGAGACAGCTATTTCATCCTAGCATTGGATTCTTCAGCAGCAGGCACTCGCTGGCTTTCGAACACGAGACATTGTGGTTACAAGACAGGCTCAGAAGGTCCTGCATTTTAAATGAAGTTAGTGAGTGTTTATGAAGTGTCGGAAAGTAGAACGAAAAACACTGTCCAGTACTGGAAGGTGGTCAAGTGGAGATGAAAGTCTGAATTCGACTAAAAACAGAAAAATGGAAAAGTTTTGAAATATCAAAAGTTATAAACGTGAGACAGAAGGAACACAGAAAAATACGAATAAAATGAAAGGTAACTAAAATGCTACTTGAAAATGTGCTGAAAAATTGAGACAAGCACAAAAGATATATATATATAATAAAGAAGTTGAAAATGACAAAGACTGAACGCTGATTTTAAAATGACTTTTTATGCAGCTTATATCATTATAATAGAGAATGTAAAGCCAATATAACTATCTAGGCTCTTCGAACATACGAAAATTGACGTCACATCCCATTGTATTTACCAATTGGAATTTACGTGTGGACACACATACATAGGATGGACTCATCGATCTCTGCAAGTAAGGGCTGGCTTCAAAGCGTATTAATAAAAATAACTCCAGAAACAAATGGAATTTTCAGAACCTATCAACGATGAAAACAGGAGACCTAGCTCTTCTACTGCGAAACATATCATAGAGACAGAACATAAAATTGAGGTTAACACATCTTTTAAAACTATATGTAAAACATGCTTAAGGCCTATCGGAAAGTTAGTGGAAGCCCTAGCAATTAGAAAGTTTAAGCCACTGTTATGAGTTTGAAAACAATACGTGATCACACTAAACATTCCTTGGTAAATTATGTTTTGATACCATAGCAGATGTAACCTAAATTCCACTATTTGTTTTAGTGGAATTCATTGTTATTTTCACATTGAAAATGTAATTTAGAATTCACTTGAGTATATATTCACAAGTATGACATAAAAACACGTTCGAATAAAACACAATGAGAAGTGGGCGTGAACTAATAAAATCACATGCAAAAAAGCGTTCAGACTAAGAGAGAATTCGTAATGAGATTGACTGACAGAATTACTGACAACGTTGTATCAGCGATCCGAATAGCCGTCATTAAAAATAAGACAGACTGAAAGATAGACAGAGGGACAGCGACAGAGATAGAAATGTTAAAAGAGATGGATAGATAGGGAATGAAGAAATTAACAACGATTTCTGTCGCGTATATATTTCAGCTGTACCGGAAACCACAACGACAGTGATGGCGACAGAAGCGGTGAACACTACAATGCACAGCTCAACAACAAGTGAGTCGTCTCTTGTTCATCACCAACATATTTGAATGTGTGTATATTTATGTGTGTGTATATGTATACGCGTGTGTGTATCAGAAGGTTACGGGAAGAGAGGGAGAGTGATTCTGTGATAGCCAACGACAACGACAACCACAACCTCGTCGCATGTCGTGTCGACATGTCGTGCTTTCAGCTGGCCATTGAGCTGATCATTCATCGAGTCGTGCATAGACGAGCACCTTGAAGTAATAGCATCCCTCCTCAAATAATATTCTCACTCACTCAAGCATACACTCAATCATACACATTCGTATTCACCCGCCCTACACGCACACACACACACACACACAAACAATTATCTTCAGCGTCATCCTCATCAACAACATCATCATCATCTCCATAATCACCAAGAGGATGAGTGACTTGACATTATCAGGGTGTACGGACTCAGTGAGTATTCGTATTGTTGATAAACTGACAGGATTACTGACAATGTTGTGTCAGTGGTCCGAATCCACGTGAGTGAAACTGAGATAGACAGACAGCCGGACAGACAATTTGTAATTCAGCCAGATAGATAAATAGACAAATAGTTAGGTGGATATGTAGATAGCTAGATAGGTAGAATATAGATAGACTGGTATATGTGGAATGAGGATATTGACAATAATTTGTGTCGCGTATATATTTCAGCTGTACCGGAAACCACAACGACAGTGATGGCGACAGAAGCGGTGAACACTACAATGCACAGCTCAACAACAAGTGAGTCGTTTCTTGTTAATGGCCAACATGTATATATATGTATGCACATTTGTGTGTGTGTTTGGTATTTGCATTCTTGAATCGAGAGTTTGAGAGAGATCGTGAAGTAGTGATTGAATGACAACCACCAACTCGTCGGATATCATGCGCACCTGTCGGGCATTCAGCTCACCAGTGACCTGCTCATTCAGCAACGTCTGCTTAGACGAGCACCTTGAAGTAATAGCATCCCTCCTCAAATAATATTCTCACTCACTCAAGCATACACTCAATCATACACATTCGTATTCACCCGCCCTACACGCACACACACACAATTATCTTTAGCATAATCCTCATCATTATCATCATCGTTCGTCGGTGGAACAGTGGTTAGGACTCTCGCCTACCATGCGCATGTTCCGAAGTTCGATCGCCTTCCGACGCACACCTGATATCTATGGTCAGCCTGCAAAATTCGGGCTACCGATATCTATGCTGAAAATTCCATACTTGTACCAAAAGTTCAGTATGGAGTCAAGCTGTAAATCGAAAATCAAAAATATCTTCATTATCACCACGAAGATGAGTGACTTGACATTATCAAAGTGTACGGACTCAGTGAGTATTCGTATTGTTAATTAACTGACAGGATTACTGACAATGTTGTGTCAGTGATCAGAATCCACGTTAGTGCAAAATGGACAGAAGGATAGACAATGAGGCAGTTAGATAGACAGCTAGATTGATTGAGACATAGAAAGATAGATGGATAAATATGGAATGAAGATATTGACAATGTTTTGTGTCGCGTATATATTTCAGCTGTACCGGAAACCACAACGACAGTGATGGCGACAGAAGCGGTGAACACTACAATGTACAGCTCAACAACATGTGAGTTATATAAATATATAGATGAAGATATATTTATCCATGATTTGAATTTATTTGCATAAATTTTGCTAAATTTATAAACGTGTATTTCACTCAAGGTATTTTGTGTCAACAATCTGAATTAATGCAGACCAAACCACAGGTTAATTCATTTTCATAAGCTGGTTGATTGTAATTTTTTTTAATGCTGCACCTTTGTGCTGGCTTCTGACTGAATTAATCTGTTGTTTCACTATGTACTTACTATGACTTGGACTCAGGAATGCGCAAGAACAGAAACAATTGTAGTTGTATTATTTTATTATCAAAATAACCGAGAGCTAAGCAGCAGATCAGACAGATCGGCAGGCAGGCAGATAGAGAGACAGACAGACTGTAGTAGTGTGGTGGTGTGTTATAGACAATATGTACCAACAGAATATTATACTCATATATTCCTACAGTTCAATTCGGCATTAGCAACAGAATTCGATAAATGCATTTGAACATTGCATTTAATGTTAGAGATAGAACACTTTTCGCATGGTTATATACTGCATAACCAACAGAATATAATGTATACTTGAATATTCTATATCATGTTGTTTGATGTAAGCGAAAATCACAGAATACAAGGGCCAGTCAACAGATCGTTTATTAAGGCAATCAACATATATTCATAGATTTTCATGTACATATTATAGATTATTGTTAGCAGAAAAACATAATCTTCTGATTGGTTGTTTCTCACAGACAGTTGACCTTGCATCTGTTCCTTGAATGCCAGATCCTCTATATGTTTACTGTATCCGCCTAGGCAAAGCCTTTATTCGCATTTTTCTCACGACCAATATTGGGGACATAAACACTGACGTAAATTACTGTCCACCAATTTTGACTAACAGCCAGCTATCACCACAATAGTAGTCCTAATTGTTGTTGCTGTTGTTGTATACTACGTGTAAACCGGCAAAGTAATTCGTCTGTGTGCTCATGAAGCAAACTTAAGCGAACAGTAAGTACTATGAGTTCGTGGTCAGCTAAACAAACAGAAGGAGAATAATCGACTGGGACACCATGTTAATCTGTGGGCTATATAAGAAATAAAACTCCAAGCCCACATGACGCATTGTTTCACGAACATATAAATAAAGTGTGTTAAGTATGAATGTCCAGGAATCAACACATCTTGCACCACCCCATATTAAAAAGAATCCAAGTTGTGACGTGTATTAGACAAGATTTTATTGCCCATCTTAGGCAGCTGTACAAATACATTGTTTTATCTTAAATAAGCATTTAGCCAAACCTCCTTGTATTGCAGTGTGGAATTTCAAATCCTGTCGAAGTAGTTCTCCTACCGATCGAACAGTTTTTATTGAGTCATCATCTCATTTAACTCTAAATTATGCGCCAAAATTTGAGGTGATTGCAACTTTCATCCTCAGTTGTGAGGCTGATTTGACTTTTTTCAGAGTTAATTGTACGTGGTAGACGTGTCTCATCTTCATGCTTGTGGCGAATTACCATGAATTTGTCAACATATATTGTAAAAAGGCACCTTAGCGATCGAATCACGGCCAATATTTTAAAGGTGAAACCAGTATACATCAACCAATAATGAAGACTGTATATGTAGTCCATTCTCTCATTGGAAGTACTTACCATATAAACTGAAATGATATTTACTACAACGTGATAATAATGATGCTAGTCTTTCAAATCTGTTAGACATATGTAATTACAAGGAATGCTGACAGTCTTTATTGGGGATCTCCTTAGTAAATAAGAAGTTTACAATGAATCAGAACATTACTTTCTATTTGATATTCATATTATGACAGTCAACAAGTTGAAAAGTATCTTTCAAATAGAACTTACACAGTTTATTCCAAATAGAGTTTAAAGTGTTTGCTAACCACTTTGCCGAATTATGCTTGACCAATCTACTAGTTAGTTCCTTAAGATATTTGAATTTCCATACGATCAAAATATTCTTTTGTCTGTAGCATCAACTATTTTTAGCCTTCAATCTGTTTGTTCATCTAGAGAAAGGTAGGAGAGAGGCAGGTGAGAAGGTCATTGTTTTACCAATAACAGTGCATGAAGACAGCCTTCTTTCTAAGAGTTCAAAATTATTCAGTACATTTTATTTTTACATGACCCATCTTGTTATTCCCCATCCTTAAACAAGAGTGGTAGTAGTGTAACAACAGAAGACAAGGGCCAGTCAACAGATCGTTTATTAAGGCAATCAACATATATTCATAGATTTTCATGTACATATTATAGATTATTGTTAGCGGAAAAACGCAGTCTTCTGATTGGTTGTTTCTCACAGACAGTTGACCTTGCATCTCTTTGTGACTGTTTCTTGAATGTCAGATTCTCTATATGTTAACTGTATCTGCCTACGCAAAGTCTGCTGTGATTGGTTGTTGAATCAATCTTGTTCATATTTTCTCGCGACCAATATTGGGGACATAAACATTGACGTAAATTAATGTCTATCAACTTTAGCTAGCCACCAGCTCTCACCAAACTCGTCCCCCCGTCAAAAACTTGCGGCTGAAGTTGGTTTGGTCTTCTTGGTTCTAGGGGCTTTGTTCGTTCTTCTTGTTGTCTGGAATCGCCGATGTTCACTCGTCTCTTTTTGATTGCCATTGCGATTGTGTCTGCATAACCCCATCTCAAAGTGACCATATGTGGTCCTTCCCACTTTGGAAACTGTTTGCCTGGCCCTGTTGCACATTTGTCGGTATTTCGCCTCACACTTTCATATGCTGCTTTTGCCCGACCTACCAGCAGCGTCCCAAGAAGCAGCCTCATTGCTGACAGATCTTGAACGCCACTCAACTGCGCAGAAGCCTCGAAGTCCTGCCCTAAGATCCATATGTCTCCATCAAAAACTGCAGGGCATAGGCTTTCCATTTGTGGGTAGGCAGCGACACCAAATGTAACAACAGAAGACAAGGGCCAGTCAACAGATCGTTTATTAAGGAAATCAACACATATTCATAGATTTTCATGTACATTTTATAGATTATTGTTAGCAGAAAAACACAGTCTTCTAACTGGTCGTTTCCCACAGAAAGTTAACCTTGCATGCCTTTGTGGCCTTTGTTCTCATTTTTCTCGTGACAAATATTGGGACATAAAGATTGACGTAAATTGCTGTCCACCAATTTTGACCAACAGCCAGCTCTCACCACAGTAGTAGTAGTGTCAATTATTTTCGTGATCATTTTTAAATCCCGCCAATACTTTGTTTTTCTCATTTGACCTCTCATTCTTCTCATTTTCATATGACAGATATGTGAGTGTGTTACTAAAAATGTATTGCTCAAATCCATCATATTTATTCGGATAAACTCCAACCTTTATTAACGCTATACAGATCAACTTGTTGAACTTATTGTTTTTGTTTTCTTTTCCCTAGTAACCACACAAACAACTACGAAGGCCACTAGCTTAACAAGTAAGTACTCATTCATTTCCAATTGTGAAAATAAAAGGTTATGTTGTTGACTAGTGATGCAAAGAGTATATAAATGTATCAGACTGTATAATGGATTATTACATAAAATACAAACGAATTACCATTTCAGACTTGAGCTCTACACGAACCATGAAAGTACAACTCCTTTTTCACGCTGTTCAGTGTGAGTAAACTGGAGTCTACAACCTAACAAAGTTTACAAAGGGATCCTTACCTCCAAAAAGCAGGAGATTTCTGCATGTGATGCTAGCTATCCCACTCCGTAAAATAAATAACCTTATTGCTACTGAATACTTGAGGAATGACGAAAAAATGAGACAGATTGCGCTGACCGATGAAATCAATCGGGAAGCCAGTCGACCGGTATGTCTCCTAAGGACACGGAATATGCACATCATGTTTGAGGCTGGCAAAGCTATCAACACTGCAGAATAAACAGGAAGATATGGCATGGAAATGTTAAGAATCTGCGAAAGCAGATGAAACGGTGGTGGATTGTGCAAATTGTTAACTGAAGAGTTAGTAATTTTCCTCCTGTCGCCCACACTACAACATCGAATTCACTGAAGGTTTGGTTGCCACAATAACATCAAAAACATCCAACGTTCTTTTATGCAGTGGGAATTATTCTCCTCCAGGATTATGACAACTAGATTCAACCCAAAAGGATAAAAAGTCACAACTACACTCTACTACGCAGCTTCATAGAAAGCAGCATACCACGTGGAAATGAAGTCGAAATCCCCATTGAAATTCACTATGGTGACATAATCCAAGTGGGAAGGGGTGCAAATGTCAGCGAAAGTGAGATCAGATAACACAAGAAGACAATTCATAATGGTTGAAGAAACGCTGAGCGAAGAGAATCAGAACGGAAAACCCATTGTGGATTTCTGTGAGTTTAATAATTCAGCAGTTTGAGCCAGCGTATACAAGGATATCAAGAAATGACGTGGATATCATAGGTAAGGACACACAGAAATCCGAACAGACTCCATCACAACACCAGGAAAGCAAACGTTCAGTACACACTGAACCAAGGATTCATGACGACTGCTACGAAGGCCTGAAGACGGTTTCACATCATAGTGTTAACCGAAGCATAACAGACTATAAGTAAGAGTGACCTCTAAAAGCTGCATCAAACAACCTGACCAATATCCGGAAGGTGGTCACAACACAACCATCGAACAGGTGGAAAAGAAAGCACTGGGTTGATCACTCAAAGAAAACTGGAATTGACCACCGACTAGAATTCATTCAGAAATAACAAATTCTTAACAGAAATAGCACGAACCTAGGAGTGAACACCAACCATTCGACGAAAACAGAAGTATGGAGTGCCATAACTTTAATAAAAGCCAGTTGGAAAAGCAATAGAACCAGACAGGGTACGCCATAATTACTGAAGGCGGACGTAGAGACCTCAGTGTATGTGCTCACGTCACTACCGATGAAGATGTGAGAGGAAGAAAAGGGAGCTGCACTATGAAGGAAAGGATGCCTCTCCCCACTGTCAAAGAAGAGTGACTTAAATCTGTGCTGGAATTGGTGTAGCATAATGTTGTTTTCCAACCTATGCAAGACATTAAACCGTATCACCCTTTGAAGACTGAAAATGCACTGGACGGAAGAATCTAACTGAAGCGATTTGTATTCAGAAGGAATAAATCAAGTATGGATCACACTGTGAAGATATGAATTCTCATTGCATTGCAGTCAGCTCTTGACATAGAATTCATCGACTACCTTACATAGTGGAGAACCGCTAATATTTATGAAGCTCACTCAGCAGAGATATGATGATGTCGCATGTGAAGTAATTGACGACTGAAAGCTGTAGGTGTAGCATGTACTACCGATAAGATTAATCAGTAGTTAGTAGAGAGACATTCATCGGCCTAAAATTATTTTACAGAAATGAGATAGATTTGACGTCAAAGAAGGAAGATGATTCAGCGTTGTGCATTTACATGGTAGACATGAAGTTGCCACAAGCTAACATAGTTTTTGGGCGAAAATTAGCAGAACACAGATGGTCTTTGCAAATGCTTATTTGAAGTTAGGGCGGATATAATTTCGCCATATAGTAATTCCAACTTCCAAATAGACATTCCTTTTCCAAGTCTCTTGCCTTCCACCGTTACGAGTAGTGTTGCTGCATCTAGACAATGCAGATTTCATGGCTGCCTACTTTCGAGGAAGGAGACATAAGAAACTTCTGACGAGACTTTGAGGTCAACGTTATGTTGGTGGCGTGGAGGGTCCGATGGTGGACGTGGTTCTGCTAGGGATGCTTCTGAGAGGCAGAGCAAAAGTAGACTACGAAAATGTGAAGCTGCAAGGTGAGGAGATCAGGAGGGTTTTATCTGAACGATTTGTGTCAGAGTTTGACGGACAGGCCACTGGTGATACAGCATTTCTATCCCTTCAAGCTGGGATTGGATGGAGACATGCCAGTGTTGGTGGTAAAGCTGGTGATACTATCACTTTAGACACTCCCCGTATTGGTTGAAAAGTCGAAATTGTAGTTATTGATGCCCCATTTCATCAAGAGTGTACCAGATCACATTTTTTAACAATTACAACTGGTTAACGCTTGACAAACAATGAACATCTGTGAGCTAGCAAAGGTGATCAGATCGCCATTTAGCACAACGGTAGCAGAAATAGAGCCACCAACATTAAACGAATGGTAAAAGACAGTGAAAGATTTGCAGCATGAAGCGGCGGCTCTATGAATGCATGCCTGTGAGAGATCAGTGCGATAATTAACACGACGCAGAGGACAATGATAACGAAGTACTGGCCTATCAACATGTATGCGATGGTGAGATAGCGGGAGTTAGGATGCCGAAAGCACAGAATATGACAGTGTTAGTTAAAGTATACAGTCATCCGTTCGGCGGAGATAGGACGACTATGGTTGTCGTAATAAAGTGGTGAGGTATGAAATCTTACTGAGCTGTCGCAAAGTGGCACCATTCACAATGCGTTCATTACTCAGATATCATTGTGTAGATCCATAGCACTCAGGACAACGAACAGAATTTGAATTTTCAACACGTTTACAATTTCAGTGCTTCTATATAATGCTGACAATCTGCACGCGTCATCTGAAAAATTTCCAACAGGCTGCGCACTATCATCAACAGCTATCTTTCCTGGATCGATATTGAAAATGATGTGACCAGTTTGAAAAGATGAGCAACAATGAGCTGTAGTATGCGCAGGAAGTCTTCACCTATGAAGAATGAAATGGAAATGGGATGGATATTTTCTGAGAAGATCTTCAAGCGACATTTCATCCCGGGTTTTCGAATAGAACCCGGGTGGGAAGCTACCCATCTGTCATCCAAGAGTGATTCGTAGGAGACCATATGAGTAGGATATGAAGATTTATGCGAAGTAGTTCTACCGGTTGTAAGAGATATCAGAAAAACAATTGCAGTGTAGATCCTCTGCTGGAGCCACATTTTCCTCTCTGAATATAAGGACAGAATAATAGTTATTATTTTTACAAGTGGGACTCACAACAAGCATTATGAATGTATTACTAAATCAGAACATTTTGTATTGCCTGATTTAGACGCAGTGATTATTGGCATATAATAATTTCTTCTTCTTAAAACTGTTAACACTAGACAATTGAAGAACTCATTATTGCTTAAAGAAAGCTTTCTGTTAAATTAGTTACACTGTAATGGTTGGAATGGATAGAAACAACCTTAAAAACAAACAAATTATTGATTTGTTAACTATTATTTTATTCCACTACACCTAAAACTATCTGTGCTGTATATATATATACATCCAAAAAGAAGCTTTCAAGGAAGCATGCGTTCTTTTTCAGCGGTCATTGGCATTAGATTTCATCACAAACTGACTCTGGCAAGAGAATCGTTGAAAACTAAGGATGATTGGAGAGTTGCGTCGTCCTACTGAAACTGCTAAACACCACGTAGCCAAAAATTCACCCATAGTCGAAACTAAGACCTTCTACTTGTGTAGAGAGTGCGCTTTAGCTTCATCGTTGAATCAAAATCCAAATGGTTATCCGAAGCCATAGGCCTGTATTTATTCTAGAACTTACCATTATTCTGTATTCTCCACCATTCCTAATAACTCTTCAAACTACCGAATTTCACAATTTCTTCGACCTTTCCCTTTGATGTACAAGCGGATAGAACACTACATGTCTGTAAATTAATAGTTAGTCGTGTCATTATTTATCCAGAAACAAAGCAACAAGCCTTACTATAGAACCTCAGAACTACTCGCGCTATTTTGCCGTTAATGTAGAAATTAACGACCTAGCACGCATCAAAATATCTCAGTTGTAGTCTTACACTTTCATATAACCTGAAGTATGAGAGTTTGAGTCTAAGAGCATTAAGAAGAATATATATTCAAAAAATACCGAAAAAGTAAACACTTAACATCAATAAATTATTTTCAGCACTCTATGCATTCTACTATGCTACCTGCCGTAAGAGTCACCAAGAAGTCAGCCTTGACCAGTTATCTTCACCAAAATTCAAACTACCAAATGACACCAGTAATATTCACATTTGACTGCCTAGGTTATAGTCTTTTCGAACAGATATTTTGCATACTTCATAGTCGTTCAACTGTCAGTGTGTCCTGAAGTCCGAAATCAACCATTCAGAAATATCAAAATATACTCACTGTTAGAAAGCTGGAGGCAATTGGTAAGAGCTGCCTCTAGGTTTCATGCCTTTTGACAATCGTCACCAAGGCGTATCTGAGGTCTTGAAGAAATTCATGTCACCTGTTAGATTTGAACCTGCGCTACTCGTTGATGCACTTAGAGATGTTATCATAGAGCTATTTAAGCACGTGATCGACCTTCTGTAGCATTATAATGGTTATTGACAAGTGCCAACAGATAGGAAAAATAAAGCCCAGGGTCTACTGTTGACTGCCTGCAACTATCAAACATCTATTCACACAGTGCACCGCGGTGGCAAGCCACCTAGCATGCTGATCACATTGCAAATTTGACTGATGGAATTCATTTTGCCCAAAATCAAGGACTAGATGTTTAACATTGACCAATCGAAGTGCACCTAATTTATATTGATAAACCGAAGCAATAAGTACCAGACTGATTTTATGATCACTTAAAGTTAATATGACGTTCCACAGAGCCGTTTAAATTCATTCCAATTCAGCAATAAGGAATGATTCACCCAATAATCCAACAGCATTCCAAATTTTGACTGGTTCCAGTTTCCATCTCTTTATCATGACTACACTTCGATCAGACTAATAATGCAATTTAAACTCACAAAAAATTAAGCACTTGTATTTTCTGATCTTATTCTTGGGTATCCGAAAAGACATCTCTCTAAATATAGATAATTCTGTTTCAGATAATATTAACATCTCAATACGAGTAGAACTACGCAAGGGGAATAAGCCATTATTATGGGATCCTTTATTGACCAATAATATATCTGCTGTCTATAATGCCACTTCAGAGAAAACATGTGCTTTAGTAAGTAGTTTATTACTCTTTCGTTTATTTTTCCACCAATAGACCTTGTTTATTATCACATATTCTTGTCATAAACTTTTGCAGATAGTTTTCTTAGATCAACACTTTTTAGAGTAATATGCAGTACAGAATAAGCTTAGCATTCGTAATGTCTTATCACTTGGATTCTCTGACACGAGTAACAATGATGTTGTCCTGTTTTGTTCAGGGTCTTCTTCAAGGTCATAAACTATTTAAGTAATATGATAAATGTGTTTGACTCCTCGAAAGTGTTTTTTTTTCAATACACCATAGTGTATAAATTAATAAAGGAGTGTTTTCCGAATTCCTTTTTAATATCCCACTTACCATTAAATTATGAAACATTACACATAAGTCAATGACTGGCACAAATCAGAACTTGTAAATATTTAAACGAGTTGATCGGGAATTGATATCAGTTAGTGAACCATTGAAAACCAGGCAGTACTGGACTCCTGTTTCATACTAGTTTGGGAATCATCGGCAGTACGTACTCACCAACAGCATGCTCGAACCTAGGACCGACTGGTGACAAGGCAAACTCGTATACCATTCAGCCTCTTGGACCCAATTCAATGGCCAATGCATGAATTCTTACTTCTACCAATTCGTGATTTAGCGCGACCCCAACCAATGTCGTTGGTGGGACATCCATCCTCACACGTGATTTGATGGACCTTACTGGTAAGGACTTGGGTTCGAATCCCAGTGGGTGTGTACTGCCGATGATTCTTGAACTAAGATGAAACGGCTGCCAGTATTCCCTGGTTTTCGATGGTTCTCTAACTGATATCAATCCGTGGTCAACCCGTAAAAGCAAAACGAACTCTTACAAACCAGCTAGAGAAAATATTTAAACCATAAATGTTACAAAAAGAAAAAGACATGAAAAAATCTGGGTTCAAAATCTGATTGAATCATTATACAACCATTTCAAATAATCCCAGGGTGTTTAGAAATGTAAAAGACACTTTTCTGAAAATGAGATTCATTTTGAGAAATACCCTATCTCATGAACCGTGACATACTAAATAAGAATGAACATACTTACTTCAAATAGATCCAAACAACTGAAAAAATCACTGTGATGTGAAATTGTATTACTCTAATTTGTCTGACGCTTTTCTGACGTTTATTCTCTCGTTATAATGATCACTACGATTACTAGAGAACAGTTAAAAGAAAAATATAAGCACACGTACTGTCCTTATATATGAATAATCATTCATTTTCACCATGCAAACCTACACCATTTTTCTATAGCCATGACACTGAGAGAGTGCGTCGGTGGCACAGTGGTTAGGATGCTCGCCGACCATGCACATGGTCCGGGGTTCGATCCCCGGCCACCAATGCACTCCTTTACCTCGCTAAGCCAGAAATAATGCTGGTAAAGTAGTAAAGTTAAGCATGGGTCTAGCAACCCCATCCTGTAAAAGTAAACACTGCTACAGAAACTTCAAGCCACTAGCTTGAAGCCCTATGTTCCACTGGGGAAGGTGACGGAAAAAATTATTAATTATTATGACAATGAGAAGTTTAGGCAATTCAATTCAGTGTGTCTGTTATCACTGTTCATACGCTCGGTTCCAAACTGTGAAGATAAAGATCTTTTAAGGATAATATTATTTTAATACACATAAGGTGAATCTTTTGATAGCGTAACTGAATGTCAACTGCTCACATCTGTCAATTTAATATTTTGAATCGATCAACTAGGTTTCCATCCACCTTTCCTCCCCCCCCCAACATCTATTATCACTGTTAGAGTGTTCGAATGCACCAGTAGAGTGCAGCAGGTCGGGTGTTAAGACAAATACTCGCCGAAGACGTTGGCTAGGGGTCGTACTATGTCGTTAATTGACAGAAGTTGGAATTCATGGGCTAGCCATTGGATCGGGTGAGTCCTAGTGGCTTATGGTCTACGAGCTCGCCTTGTAACCAGAAGGTCCTTGGTTTGAATCCCGGTGGGTGCGTACTGATGAAGAGTCCCAAACCAGGACGAAACAGCTGTCCAGTACTCCCAGGTCTTCCAATGGTTCTCTAACTGATGTCAGCTCATGATGAAATCCTGAAACCAATCAAATCCCTACAAACCAACACTTGAAAGTCTATTCCATGTGACTCAGGATATCAGTTGGATATTCTGTGATATCTGTCATACTTCTTTCAAATGAAGTCATCTTAATAAGCTTGAAATGCTATGAAATATATTCTCCTAGGTTGGCTGGCTGGCTAGATGGATGGATATCTAAGTGTTCCGTTCGTTTTTATTCACACTATAGTTTGCATGATGGAGAATCGCACTGATCAATATCACTCACTTCAATTGTGGTTGTGAACAAAAAGGGAATAATGTTATCCACTATAATGACTATCAATCACACTAGCAAATAATTTTGAAATGCAAACATTTTAATCGAATCTCATAACAACTGCCGCCTTATTTTTTCTGCTATTTATTTATTTATTACAGATAAAAGCTGCTGCTCGTTTCACTACATCAATGCAATTCGAAATCACCTTCTGTAATATTCTACGATTTTATCCGGGCTCTATACTAGCTGAAGCAGGGATAACTGTGAACTATACAGATAGCAATGTCAGTCAAACACAAATACTTCAAGCAAT